CGCAGGCTCAGGCAATCCACTCACCTCAGCCTCCCAAAGGTGCGGGATTACAGGCTGAGCCACCGAGCCTGGCAAGCTTAAGACATTTTAACACTGCCAGATGTGTATAGAGATACCACTTGCAGCCGAGTATGATGGCTCACGCTGTAATCCCAGCCCTTTGGGAGGCTGAGGTGGGAGGATCACTTGAATCCAGGAGTTCAAGACCAGCCTGGGCAACATAGCAAGACCTCATCTCTACGAAATATCAAAAAATTAGCCAGTCACGGTGGTGCAAGCCTGTAGCCTCAACTACTTAGGAGGCCGAGGTGGAAGGATCGCTTGAATACAGAAGGTTGAGACTGTGGTGAGCTGTGAACATGCCATTGCACTCCAGCTTTGCCAACAGTGTGAGACCCCAGCTCAAAAATTTTTTTAAAAAACAGAGATACACTAAAACACCCACATCATTTTTTTTAAGTGGCGCTAGCTAAAATACTTTTGCAAAAGATATGGGAAAATTACTGAGGAATCAACATTCTTTAATACTTATAAATCTTGGTGTATAGGATAACTTTTGGTGACCTTATGGGGAAGGAATTACTTACAGCTGATCCAGAAATTCTGCGAGAAAGGAGACTTCCTATCTAATATCCTTAAAAAGTGAAAATAAAAATCTTATCACTTCCTTCCCTAAACCTTTATCTTTACTGTTGCCACTCTACTCACACCCCTTTTGTGTCTAGCATGACACAGGAAATTATTGCCTCCTGAAGGAAGGTTGTGCTGGAGGCTTGTGGCACCTACAGGAACAGGCCTGGAGGGGTGATTGGAAAGGTGGTAACTCAATTCAGAACCACTCATGTTTCATGATGTTAAAACATTCTATTCTACAGTCATGCTCACATGGTTTTATTATCCTTGTAAGTTGCCTACATTTGCATGCCAGTGCATGTACCATGGCTGGCAGAAGCTTGTGATAGCCTCCAGTTGGAGGCCTTGGTACAGAGGATTCTAGTAAAAGCAAATCATAGTCTTGGTTCTCAACATCTCTAACTTAGAACTTCATTGTCACTAATTTTGTGATATTCTTTCCATTTTATTTAAGAAAACACAAGCATTGCGTTTTCCTTCCTTGACCTGAGTATTTTTTTTTGAGTCAGAGTCTCACTCTGTCACCCAGGCTGGAATGCAGTGGCATGCTCACGTCCATCCCAGCGTCGACCTGCTGGGCTTTGGCGATCCTTCCACCTCAGCCTTCCAAGTAGCTGGAACTATAGGCACACGTTACCACACCTGGCTAATTTTTTTTTTTTTTTTTTTTTTAGTAAAAGTCTCACTCTGTTACTCAGGCTGGAGTACAGTAGCACACTCATGGCCACCACAGCTTCAAACCTACTGGGCTCAGGTGATCCTTCCACCTCAGCCTTCCAAGTAGCTGGGACTACAGGCATGCGCCACCATGCCCAGCTAATTTTTTTATTCTCTCCAAGTTGCCCAGGCTGGTCTCGAACTCAGGCAATCATCTCACCTTGGCCTTCCAAAGTGCTGGAATTATAGGTGTGAGCCACTGCGCCTGGCCTCTCTGGCTAATTTTTGATGTAGAGGTTAAGTCTTGTCAAGTTATCTGGGCTGGTCTCAAACCCGTGAGCTCAGGCAATCCACTCACCTTGGCCTCCCAAAGTTCTGGGATTACAGGCTGAGCCACCCAGCCCAGCCCTTTTTTTTTTTTTGAGTTGGAATCTCAGTTGCCCTGGCTGGAGTGCAGTAGTACGCTCACAGCCACCACAGCCTCGACCTCCTGATCTCAGGCAATACTTCTGCTTCAGCTTTCCAAGTAACTGGAACAACAGACGTGCACCTCCTTGCCCAGCTAATTTTTTTTATTTATGGTAAAGATGAGGTCTTGCCAAGTTGCCCAGGTTGGTCTTGAACCCCTGGGCTCAGGCAGTCTTCTCGCCTTTGTCTCCTCAAGGCCTGGGATTACAGGCGTGAGCCACTGCACCTGGCTGTATTCTTTTGCCTCTACTGTTTTAAACTTTTTTTTTTAGAGACAGAGTCTTGCTCTGTCATCAGGCTGGAGTGCAGTGGTGCAATCATAGCTCAATGCATCCTTAAACTCCTGGACTCACGTTATCTTCCCACTTCAGCCTCCTAAGTAGCTGGAACTACAGGCGTGTACCACCATGCCCCCCTAATTTTTTAAAAAAGAATTTTTAGCAATGGGGTCTCACTTTGTTGCCCAGGCTGATCTCAAATAGCGGCCTCAAGCAGTCCTCCCACTTCAGATTCCCAAAGTGTTGAGATTACAGGTGTGAACCATCATGCCCAGTCTCTTTTCACTTTTATCCTTTTATCTTTCTCAGTCTCTGTCCCTCCTCCAGACACATCATTCTGTAACATGTTTTTCTTGCAAGCAAGGAAGATTTTCTCCCTCAACTCTTGGAGTCAGAAAGGTTACTTTTTTCCCTGTGAAGGTGACTTGCATATATTTTTTGGTCTCTGGGTTTTGGCCCAAGATAGCACTTTTATTTCTTCTTAGCTTATACTTTTGGTATCTAGTGGCAACCCCCCCCAAGTATCACTTACCAGTCAGAAGGTTCTCAGAAACTCAAACAACAGAGAATAGCCTTGCATCGGCAAACTAAAAATCAAAACCATCAGTAGAGAAATGAAAGATCTGATGAGTTGCAGTGGGTGTTTGTGTTTTATCCTAAGAACGGGCTAATGTCATGGTTCCTTCTGCAGTCCCATATAGAAATCATCCACGGCCATGCAGCATTCACGAGTGATCCCACGCCCACAGTTGAGGTCAGTGGAAAAAAATACACCGCTCCACACATCCTGATTGCCACAGGGGGCGTGCCCTCTAGTCCTCGTGAGAGCCAGATCCCAGGTGAGTCATAAAGGCAACTACTCACTAACAGCAGTCAGGAGGAGTTTACCATTGCTTTCAACCTGACACGCCATGCTGTGGGATCTGCCTGGACCATTTAGTTCTCTCTCTTGAGAAATGCCATGGGAGGAGGTCCCTCTGGGACTTAAATGTAATTGGCTAAGGGGAAGCTAATGATGGGGTAAATAAAGATATTTCATTTGGCTCTGGGACCATTCTTTCCTTCTCAGCATAGTACAGATTGTTTCCAGCCTCGGTTTGTCAGATGGGTTGTTATTATAAGATAGATGGTATATTTACTGTTTTCTTAAAGGGAGGAAAATCTTTTTATTTTTTTTTTTTTGAGTTGGAGTTTCCTCATTTTGTCACCCAGACTGGAGTGCAGTGGCCACTTCCGGCCACTGCAGCCTCAACCTGCTGGGCTCTGGCGATCCTTCTGCCTCAGCCTTCCAAGTAGCTGGAACTACAGGCGCACGCTACCACGCCCGGCTAATTTTTTATTTATTGTAGAGATGAGGTCTTACCAAGTTGCCCAGGCTGGTCTTGAACCCATGGACTCAGACAATCCACTCACCACGGCCTCCCAAGGTGGGGGATTACAGGCTGAGCCACCAAGCCCAGCTGGGAGGAAAATCTTGTAAGGATATAACTTAATTCGCTAAGTAGGCCTTTATGAGCATATTTTTCTCTCTCTCTCTTCTTTTTTTTTTTTTTGTTGGGATCTCACTCTGTCATCCAGGCTGGATGACGTGGATCATGGCTTCTTGCAGCCTCAACCTCCTGGGCTAGGTGATCCTTCCATCTCAGCCTCCCAAGAACCTGGTACTACAGGTGCACACTACCACACTTGGCTAATTTTTAAATTTTTTTGTGGAGATGAGGTCTCACTATGTTGCCCAGGCAAGTTTCTTTCTTCAGTAGAGAATTACAGAAGATTAAAGCAGTAGGGAGTCTCAGAGATGGTCATTTCTACCCTTACATTTTATAAACACAGGGGCTGAACCCCAGGGATAAATCATGAACATGACTCCTTATTCTCTCATGAGAAAAATTGTCCAAGTCTTTCTCCCCAACTACATTATAAGGACATTGTGGGTGTTGAACACAGTTTATACACCTTTTGTATTCTCCATAGATTGACTTCTCAGGACCCATGACCAATCTAATTTATATGGAAAATTTTGAACCTGTATGCAGTTATGTATTTTTTTCCTCTCTGGAGGGATGATCTATATATTTTTCCCAGCTTTAAAAGGGGTTATGACCCTCAAAAATGTAAAGAACAACTGCTATAAAAGGAGTCAAAGATGCCATTCTCAAGTAACCCAAAGTTTAATTGGGAATATTGAATGTGTATACATCCTTGATGAGTGCGATCTCCAAGATTTATTGTTTTGGGGTTTTTTTTTTTTTCATTATTTCAGTAGCTTTAGGGAGTACATATAGTTTTTGGTTACATGGCTGCATTGTATGGTGGCAAAGAAGTCTGGGCTTTAAGTGTCCCCACCATTCCTACCTGTGCACATTGTCCCCAATAGGCTATTTTTTATTCCTCCACCCTTCCCACCCTCCCTCTTCTGAGTCTCCAGTGTCTATTATATCAGTGGTCTCCAACCTTTTTTGGCATCAGAACTGGTTTCGTGGAAGAAATTTTTCCACAGACAAGTCCGGGGGAAATCATCAGGCATTAGATTCTCATAAGGAGCCCATAGTCAGATCCCTCGCATGTGCTGCTGTTCACAGTAGGATTTGTGCTCCTATGAGAATCTAATGCCTCTACTGATCTGACAAGAGATGGAGCTCCGCTACCCACAGCTCACCTCCTGCTGTGCTGCTGGTTTCTTTTTTTCTTTTTTCTTTTTTTTTTTTTGAGTTGGCGCCTCACTCTGTCACCCAGGCTGAAGTGCAGTGGCATGCTCATGGCCACTGCGATCTCCAGCTTCTGTACTCAGACAATCCTTCCACCTCAGCCTTCCAAGTAACTGGACCACAGGTGTGTACCACAATGCCTGGCTAATTTTTTGATTTATTGTGGTGATAAGGCCTCGCCAAGTAGCCCAGGCTGGTCTTGAACTCAGGCAGTCTTCTCACCCTGGCCTCCCAAAAAGCTGGGATTATAGGCATGAGCCACCATGCCTGGCCCTAGCCTGGTGTCTAACAGCCAAGGACTGATACCAGTCCAAGGTCCCGGGGGTTGGGGACCCCTGCATTATATAATTCTCTATGCCTTTGCAGATCCCTAGTTTAACTCCCACTTATTAGTGAGAACATGTGGTGTTTGGTTTTCTTTTTCTGGGTTAGTTCACTTAGGATGATGTTCTCCAATTGCTAAGATTTACTGTTAAGTGAAAAAAAAAGAGAGAGTAGAAAATTGTGTATCATATGCTATAATCTGTGTCTTTTAAAAAGGCAGTGGCAGACAGCAAACATTCCCTCTCTGTTGCTCTGCCTGTTATAAACATAATGTATGTTCCCTTTAATAAATCTACCTTTCCTCATTGAAAAAATTAAACAGCCAGGCACAGTGGCTCAAGCCTGTAATCCCAGCACTTTGGGAGGCTGAGGCGAGAGAATTGCCTGAATCCAGGGGTTTGAGACCAGTCTGGGCAGCTTGGTGAGACCTTGTCTCTACGATATATCAAAAAAATGAGCCAAGTGTGGTCGCGCTTGTCTATAGTTCCGCCACCTTGGAAGGCTGAGGTGGAAGGATCCCCTGAACCCAGTGGGTTGACGCTGGAGTGGCGGTGAGCATACCACTGCACTCCAGCTTGGGCAACAGAGTGAGACTCTGACTCAAAAAAAAAAAAAAAATAGAAGGCAGGAGGTCATACATATGCACTAAACATCTCTGGAAGTTTACTCAGAAATGTTGTCATGGTAATACCCTTCAAGGAGAGGACTGGAACTGTAAGAAAGACTAGGGTAGAAAAGAGACTTATTTTTCACTATATGTTTATTTCACCCTATATTTCACTTTATATGTTGTACCTCTCGGAATTTTTTACATACATTAATTTTTTTAATGCAAAATATAGAATGTATATGTCCTAAGGCGATTAGCAAGCAATGAGGGTTGAGATGCTCAGAGGAGGGACAGACAGACTTCCTAAGAAAGGGGCTTACACATTGAGCATTACATGCTGAGGAAAACAAGGACCAGAAAAAACAGCAGGTAATAAAGATGTCTTTGAAGAACATTCAACTAATTTTTTTAGCACTGAAATCTTTTTTTTTTTTTAATAAAAACAAGGTCTCCCTATGTTGCCCAGACTGGTCTCCAAATCCTGGGTTCAAGTGATCCTCCACCTTGGCCTCCTAAAGTGCTGAGATTACAGGCATGAGTGCCTGGGCAAGCACTGAAATTCTTGAGACGAATACTTTGAGCTGAGACTGGGATTGGATCATGGCCAAATTGTGGAAACTCATCAAACCAAATTAAGGAATCTCTAAACTGTGACAAATATTAGCTTATAAATAGAGCAATCAAGAGCTACATGATAATTTTAGAAACTCCTCTGACAGTGACTTGAACGGGGGAGAGCACAGTGGATGGAGACCAGTTAGAAAACTGATGCAATTGTCTGTGGAGCAAGGGGTGATAAGATTCTCAATTTGGTTTGTATCTGAAATGTGATAGAAAAATCTCAGGTCAGATCTGCAAAGTAGATTACTAAACCCTTGCTAGAATGTCAGGGACTAGAGGTGAGAACAGGCATAAAAGATACAGAAAATAAATAATCAATTACTGTTTTTTGGTTTTTTTTTTTTTTTTGAGTTGGAGTCTCACTCTGTCGCCCAGGCTGGAGTACAGTGGCATGGTCATGGCCACCGCAACCTCTGCCTGCTGGACTCAAGTGATCCTTCCGCCTCGGTCTCCAAGTAGCTGGAACTACAGGCAGGCACCACCATGCTTGGCTAATTTTTTTTTTTTATTTAATGTAAAGATGAGGTCTCACCAAGTTGCCCAATGTGCTCTTGAACCCATGGGCTCAGGCAATCTTCTCACCTTGGCCTCCCAAGGTGCTGGGATTATAGACGTGAGCCACCGCACCTGGGCTGGTTATTGTTTTTCACTGATACGAAGACATTAAAAATTCAACACCTCTGAAATCAGGATTTGGTAAAATGCAGTACATTTAATAACTGATGAAATACAGAGATGGGGCTGCTGAGAGAAGGAAGCCCAGATTGACAAAGGTTTGTCTGGGGGAGAAGGTGGTAATTGACGTGAGCTAGAAAGAGAGAGATGTAGTTTGGGAGATAAAGTTAAGGTTCAATTCTAAATAGACTGAGTTAGAAACAAAGTAGAATCGTGTAGTGGGAGAGTTAGAAGCATGCAACTGAAACTCAGGGAGAAGGTCAGAACTGAAACTATGGGGCAGGTACAGTGGATCATACCTATAGTGTCAGCTACACAGGAGGTTGAGGTAGGAGGTTGGCCTGAGCCCAGGAGTTTGAGGCTGCAGTGAGCGATGATCATGACACTGCACTCCAACTTGGGTGACAGAGCGAGACCCCCATCTCTAAAAACAAAGCAAAGTCCGGGCGCGGTGGCTCATGCCTATAATCCCAGCACTTTGGAAGGCCAAAGTGAGAGGATTGCCTGAGCCTATGGGTTCAAGACCAACCTAGGCAACTTGGGAGACCTCATCTCTACAATAATCATAAAATTAGCCCAGCATGGTGGTGCATGCCTGTAGTTCAGCTACTTGGGAGACTGAGGTAGAAGGATCACCTGAGCCCAGCAGGTTGAGGATGCGATAGCCATGAGTGTGCCACTGCACTCCAGCCTGGCCCACAGAGTCAGACGTTTACATACACTAGAATAAGACATTTAAAGTTAAAATTAATTGTACTAATTTCCAATTAAAATGTGAATCCATGTGACTCAAAATGTGTATTGTATTTTTATATAGCTTTATGACTGTAGATCATAAAGACACAAATCGAGATTAAATTACATACCGACGTTTCTCAGGATAGTCTAAGAAAGATTGCAATGAGAGCAGGCCCAACAAGACTCCAACACACAAAAAATAAAAAATAAGTAAAAGCCAAACGAAACTGGAATTATGCACTTGGAAGTTCTGCACGATGAGATTTGGTTGAAACCTCTGAAGGAACAAGCTGGCAAAAGAGGGCCATATCTCAGCTGCGGGGTTCCTGCTTGTCCTTGGGGTAGGTGGCAGGGTGAGCAGAGCCAGCAAAGTCTGTTCACGAAAGCTGAGAAGACCCTCATTCTCAGAGAAATTTGGAAGTTATTTAGCCATCACAGCTTCTATTGCTGGATAGAAAATAAAAATGTTGATTCAGGGAGGACTTGGTTGGCAGTTTCCCAAGTGGAGACTTTAAAAAAACTTGTCAAAACAGAGTATGTTGGCTGAGGAAATGTTTGACTCTGGCATAAAATGTTGTAACTATTTTACAAGAGAAAGAGCAGTCTTATGTGATCTAGGTTGTCTTTTTCCTATGTAGGTGCCAGCCTTGGAATAACCAGCGATGGATTTTTTCAACTGGAAGAATTGCCTGGGTAAGCTGACCTGACCTGATCTCAGTGACTCATTCTTCCTCAGTCTCTTCTGGTCACAATTTCTTCTTCCTCCCCTCCCCAAGCGTGTTATGTAGGCATTTCCTGAATTCTGTTTTCTGCCTCTTCTCTTTTTATGACCTTGTGTTTCGCATCCATTAGTACCCCTTAGTAGATCACTCGAATCTTTCATGCTTTTGGTTGGAGACCATTGCAGAATTTTTAGACCCAAAGTCAAATGCAGCATAATTTGAGGACTAATTAGTAAAGTCCTAAAACTGTCTTCTTTCTTCAACTTGATGCAGCATCAACCAAGAATGTGTCTAAAGTAGCTGATTCTTGTTTTCAAAGCAGCTAGTGCCCAGGTGCAGTGGCTCATGCCTGTGATCTCAGCACTTTGCTAGGCCAAAGCAAGAGGGTCACTTGAGTACAGGAGTTCAAGACCAACCTAGCCAACGTAGCAAGACCTTGCCTCTATACAAATAAAATTAATTAAAAATTTTAAAAAATGTAGCTAGTGCAGATGGGTCTTCATAAGTGAAGGCTCAGTCAGTCTCATAAAAATACATTTTCTGACATGGTTCTTTATGTTTGTTTGAATAACCATATAAGCCTTCTGACGTGAATTTGTTATTATTTATTTAAATTTTATTTTTTAGAGGTAGAGTCTCGCTTATCACCCAGGCTGGAGTGTAGTGACACAATCATAGCTCACTGCAGCCTTAAACTTCTAGGCTCAAGACATCATCTTCCTTCAGCCTCTCAAGTAGCTGCGATTCACCTGGCTAATTTTTTTTTCTTTTTTTTTTTTTGAGTTGGAGT